GAGGAGTTGTTCGACCTCCTGGACTACACTTTGGTGTTGGCAGTTGCTATGTACTAGATCTACAAGGTCCTTTCCTCGAGTGTGACGAAGATCCTGATGTCCCACAGAAGAAGTGGTGCTTGACTATGACTGATGCAGTGTTCTTCCATGTGTTATTCGATGTCCTCGACAACCCGAACACTGGTGCCGTGGTTGACCCGGTCCACAAAATTATTGCTATGAATGGCATTCCTCAGGCCGTTGTCCCGGGAAGTTGCTTTCCTTCCAGTGATTTCAAGATGTACCTCAAGTCTCAAGCTATTGCCTATACCTACCTACCACGAGATGCTCAACATCTTGGAGGCTTTCATGAACGAGTACATGGGACTATATTGCAGCAAGTGAGGGGTCGGTTGGCGAGAGCTGAGCTGCAGGCTGAGCCCATAACCTTCTTGACTATCTATAGTGAAGCTGTGGCCAGTGTGAACCGCCTCCCTTTGACCGACTCTGGAGGACTAACCCCCTTCGAATTATATCATGGACGACGCCCTCGTTATCTTGCTGGTTCCTGCACTGGTGAGGATGCTAGACTAGGTCAACAACTTATTGATGAATGGTTTCCCGGCTTACGACGTAATGAACAAGATGTTCTAGAGTCTGATGAGCAAGAGAGTGGTTGGCAGGGTCCCTATATTGTCACTTGGAAGAATCAAGATGGTACACTTTATAGATTGAAGGGCGAAGATGGTACCTCTCTACCTTATGTCGAAGGACGGTCCAATCTACGTAAGTACTATGAACGAGACGAGCAAGATGATCTACCCCCGTACGATTCCTACGATGAAAATGGTGTATTCCCACCGGATGATGTCGAGGTCGAGCACGACGTTCCAATCGAAGATGCCGACGTTACCAACTGAGATATTAAATTAAGAACATGATATGATTAAGTGCGGGATCTTAAATCCCAGATATATGGTATGATTAAATGTGGAATCCTGAATCCCAGGCTCTCTGGTGTGTCGGACGTCCCGTCCGAGATAGGCCCACCAATGGCCACTAAGAAGTTGATAAATGAACTAGTACTATTGATGCCCCTCTTTTTGATCGACACTCAACAGCCCAACTGTGGTTTGCTGATTTCGCTCGGATTACATGCAATTAGGGCATTCCCATAGTGAAACGGCTGAAACGGTTGTCTC